CAATTGAAAAATGAAATTGCGGGTATGCAACAAACCCTCCTTGCTCAGCAAGCTGAGATTGAGAAATTGAGAGCAGAAGTCCCCGCCATTAATTTTGAACAATTCCAACAAATTCTCGTCGCACAGCAAGCCGAAATAGAGAAATTGAAAAAATCTGACCCATCTTATCGGCTAACTGGAAGTGACATAAAAGCCATCCCTGAGTTTAACGGAGACCCTCAGCTATTGCCTCAGTTCGTGAAAATCTGTGAAAAACTCGTTGCAGATTTTTTCATTCCTGACGATCAGAATCATATCCAGAATACGAGACTGATAAGAGGAATTCTCAGTAAACTTAAAGATTCTGCTCAAATTCAATTGAGTAATTTTGATTTTAAAAATTGGATTGAAATTAAAGAAAAACTCCTCGAAGATCCTCTGATCCTCTCTGGTCCTCTGATTTATCTGAATAAGAAGTTTTCGTGTACTTCAATTGTTTTTATTTCTCCTGTCCCTACGGGACGAAACTTAACTTGTATTATGAAAGTAGCGTTTTAGACCCATATTTTTTGTGTAGAATCACACTTATTTCAATAAGAAATAGTCGAGATTTACGCAATTTCTAGAATCGGAGGGAACCGAATTATTTTGACTAAGATTGCATTTCCTGCAGCTGATATAATTCAACGCAGAATTCCATTTTTATCAAGATTTTATTCCTGAGATATCATTTTGAGAAGTTACTAGTTACAAAGTTTACTTGGTTACTTACTCACTTATCTTAGGGCTGCCCAAACACAATATTTGCCCCAATAAAAACTTAAAAGACAGGCCTTTGACGTGTATTATGAAAGTAGCGTTTTAGACCCATATTTTTTGTGTAGAATCACACGTATTTCAATAAGAAATAGTCGAGATCTACGCAATTTCTAGAATTGGAAGGAACCGAATTATTTTGACTAAGATTGCATTTCCTGCAGCTGATATAATTCAACGCAGAATTCCATTTTTATCAAGATTTTATTCTTGAAATATCATTTTGAAAAGTTACTAGTTAGAAAGTTTACTTGGTTACTTACTTACTTACTCACTTACGTTAGGGCTGCCCAAACACAATATTTGCCCAAATAAATCTTAAAAGACAGGCCTTTGACGTGTATTATGAAAGTAGCGTTTTAGACCCATATTTTTTATGTAGAATCACACGTATTTCAATAAGAAATAGTCGAGATCTACGCAATTTCTAGAATCGGAAGGAACCGAATTATTTTGACTAAGATTGCATTTCCTGCAGCCGATATAATGCAACGCAGCATTCCATTTTTATTAAGATTTTATACCTAAGATATCATTTTGAAAAGTTACTAGTTAGAAAGTTTTCTTGGTTACTTACTTACTTACTCACTTACTATGACGTTTTGCCTGCGGCAACTCCCGCCCTTTATTCAAATTGACAAGTTGGCAGTTCCGACTACCTCAGCCACCCTGGCGGAGGGAGTCGGAACTACAACGATTTTCATTCGAGTTCTGGCTCGCACCGGTTTTCTCGTCTCTCGGCGTCGCGTTCAGCTTTTTTTACAAAATGTGAGTATTTTTGATTAAAGCCACCCCTTTAGGGGGTGGTAGTTTTTCTAGTTCATCTTCTTGTGAGTTGTGGTGGCCGGCAGGCCCACGAAGCCATCCTAGTTTCGTCTTCTCTTTCTTGTAAACTCTTGGGGTAGGCCTTGTGCTCGCGATGGCCTAGCCTCCCCCACGCGTTTCCTTTTTCCTTTTTCATGTAGAGAGTCTCGTATCGGCTCAACTGGCGCCCAACGTGGGGCTTTGTAGCTTTCGTCAAAGCTACTTCCAAAGTTCGAAGGATTCATCCCCGGAAAGTTTCAAGTTGTTCGTCTCTCGGTTAACCTCATGTTCACGGTCAGTCAATGAGGTACCAGTGTTTCTTATGTGTGTCTCATCGCAATTAGGGCTAATCCTACTGTGACGTTATTTTTCATTGTGTTTCTTCTATAATGTGTGCGATTTGATACTTGGTTCGGTATCGTGCGGTTTTTTTGTCAATCTCGACAGCGTGGCGTGGGTCACTTCTCGATTTAGGCCTAGCCTCCCCCACGCGTTTCCTTTTTCCTTTTTCATGTAGAGAGTCTCGTATCGGCTCATTACCTTAGGGCTAATCAGAGTGTGAAATTAGTAGCTACGATGCTCCCAATGCTCCCCTTCTGATAATTTTGACACGCTGCGACGTTGCCATTTTTCTGAGCAAAATCGTGAATTTCGACTTATTTCAATATCATCTCTCTAGACTTAAAAAAAAACTCAGGAGCCATCTAAAAAGTGCGCTAAAACACGGTGATTATACCATGAGTATCTTCTTTGAAAATTTGGACCCTGTAAAATGTTTTACTCGGCGTGAAGTTACCTTACTGCCTGACCGGTCAGGCAGTCAACCGTCTCAGATTTCGAAAGTCTCAAGATAACATTTTTGGCAATTTCTGCCATTTTGGATTTTGGAATTTTAAAAATTTGAATTGAGATTCAAGTTCCTTGTTAAAAAATACCCCCTGACGCCATGATGATAACAGTCAAGTTTCATACGTTAATGCGCCTTCAATTACATTTGATACCGTGCAATACTTTCGTGGTGGAATAGTTGCATTGGCGCCTACAAACCTAACAGGGATACTGCATGTATTGCGCAATGAGTGATGTATCCCTGTTAGGTTTGTAGGCGCCAATGCAACTATTCCACCACGACAGTAATGCACGGTATCAAATGTAATTGAAGGCGCATTAACGTATGAAACTTGACTGTTACCGTCAACCACTGTTTGCCAAGTGGTAACTTCACGCCGAGTAAAACATTTTACAGGGTCCAAATTTTCAAAGAAGATACTCATGGTATAATCACCGTGTTTTAGCGCACTTTTTCGATGGCTCCTGAGTTTTTTTTTTAGGTCTAGAGAGATGATATTGAAATAAGTCGAAATTCACGATTTTGCTCAGAAAAATGGCAACGTCGCAGCGTGTCAAAACTATCAGAAGGGGAGCATTGGGAGCATCGTAGCTACTAATTTCACACTCTGATTACCATTTAGGCATCTGTAACGTTAATTTATCGACAGGGAAAAATCATCAAAAACAGTCAAAAATTCGCGTCAAAAATTTTAATGCGTGAAAATGGCAACCGCGCGTCGGGTCAAAAGCATGGAGGGGGTCCAAAACTTCACTAGGGTGTAGTTTATGAACTAATTTTGCCATCTGTTTAATTTGCAGACCCCTCTGACTTTATTTTTTGGGAGCGAAAAATTACTGAAAAACAGTAAAAATTCGATATTTTTGCGGGGATAAATGGCAACTGCGCGTCGGGTTAATTTTGTCCGATTGACCCCAAATTTCATTTTCCGTGTTTTTGAACATGCAGCAACCGATTTAGGGGGTTACGGCTATAAATTTCCGAAATTCATTTTTTGTGGGCCACCCTACTGCGCAGGCAGATCAACCCTGGGGCGCCCACTGTAAAACACCGCTTAGCCGCTGCTCCGATCGCAGTTCAGATTTCATCCCCTTAACACTTCTGGAGTTTTCTCCCCAATGCTCGTCGTCACCTTCGCCCAGCCACGCGGCTCATCGCTCGCTCGATCTCTCGTCCTGTCACGAACGGCTATAGCTATCCTCACACGGTGAGTTCTTATCCTTGCCCGGCAAGCCCTTATACTTGCACGGCAAGACACTCCTGTACTCGGTACCATATATCAGCGTACGACGCCCGCCCGCCAAGTGTGTGTGTTCTACTTAGTAGCTTTCATTTGTAGTTCTCTCACATTGTAGTTCTCTCACTTTGTAGTTCTCTCACTTTGTAGTTCTCTCACTTTTAGTTCTCTCACCTTGTAGTTCTCTCACCTTGTAGTTTTATCATTATATCTTAGCCATCTATCAGTTGCGTTTTCTTTAGTTTTCCCTCACTCCCGTGATAAGGTGGTTGCTGATCCTGGACTAGCCCGGATCAGCTCCCAACAACACTCACTTCGTTTCACACGCGTTAAGTGTTAATTCGGTGGTAACACGTAAGTTACATTCGACCACGTACGTCACACGCAAATTCGACCGCGTTCGTTACACGCAAATTCGACCGCGTTCGTTACACGCAAATTCGACCGCGTTCGTTACACGCAAATCCGACCGCGTACGTTACACGCAAAACTTCAACATCTTTCAGTTTATAAGGCGCTAAGGTAAATCATCTCACCATCATAAAATCCTTCATTCTTTCCTACATCTTTCCTCTACCATTTTTCCACTCCAATTTTCATTCCAAAGTCTCTGTAATCAATTCATCTGTAACCTCAATAATTGTAACTTATAGTATCTTGTAATACCTGTAATACTAAATCCTGTTAGTTTCCTCAATATGCATAGCCGAAAGACTTCAAACGTACTGAGTTCGGCTCTTCATTTAATTTTCCTTGAATTCCTTATCTAGAATAAATTAGGTAAGAAGGTGAAAGTTGTTTGGGTTGCAAATCAACTCAATTCATCATAAATTTCTATTAAATTTATCATGTTAATTAAAAGCAACCCAAACATCTTCCCACAGTTAAGATGGATACCATCGCCGGCAAAGAAGTCTCTAGTGAGAGGCCGAGTTTTTATAATGGCGACGTTTCGCTGGGAGACTTGCTGACGGATAAACTTTTTGCTCATCCGCCGGCTAACCTCCCTTACCTGTCCATTGAAAGTTCCACCTTTGTCAAACCTCCGGAAGAGCTCCAGCCATGCGACAAGCCCCCACCCCCCTTATGGCTGCTGCCAATGCCTTTATCCGTTCTATCTCCATACCATCCACGATTTACTTTGGCGTCGGATCCATCCTTACGTCGTTACCTCCGGGAATAATTACCACTACTGCCTCTACTTCCTTCACTACTTCATTGAAGCGGGCTCCTGGGCTGCAGATTACCCTGCAATCTGTCTCGGTGCCCCTTGAAAAGGAAGGGCAGCGGACGATTCGAAACGTCGTCGTTCGGACAAATAATTAAATAAGGAAAGATTGAGTTTTTAAATTTTTGCGATTTTCTTCTTAATTTAAGTGTACTTGCTTTGTTATTTAGCGTTATTTTCATTGTCATTTTCAACCCTTAAATTTGCCGATATCAAGAACTTTGCAGCTTACTGAACGACAAAAAATAATAGGTGCAACTAATGAACTAAAGTAATTTTAAAAAAAGGTAATGTTTAGCACGTTATATAACATGTAGAAACAGCCTGAGAATAGTGTGAAAACTCTGAGATTTAACACTACAATATTTAGGTAACAAAAGCAATAGCCCTGATTTTTTTGTGCTTGGTGATCATCGATACATAACTATAAGATACCTCAATCTGAGAAAGAGTCTTAAAAATTCTTAAAAGTTGATGAAAATGGTTATCTTCCTAAAATTTGCAGTCGACATGAAAAACATGATAGGACTTACATTTCGAGTAAATAACACACCCAACAGAGATCAATCAAATTTTAAAGCTAATAGGCCAACATTGGGTCAATAGGGTAACATGATTTTGCAGAATTTTAGATAATATCTATCAAAAAACACGCATAGATCATTATTCAAAATCATCCATAAAGGATTGGCTCGTTGTTGATACCTTCATGCTGATCTTTTAGAGGCTGAGTCGCCAAACAACAGCGGATGAGAAGCCCCGGTTTTCCAGACAGCAGTGTTCGGGTAGGTTGTATTCTTCAAGTTTGGTGAGTCTGGACCTGATTCTTGCAGACAGCCCATGGCGGCCAGGGTCTCCTATCAGTACCGAGCACCCTTCAGCGGAGGCACTCTTCAGCCATGGATACAAGACGGCAGCAAAAGTCTCATCGTAAAACATGTCTCCAATCAAGATGAGATCCCACGGGAAAAACTCCGCCTTCAATAAGTTCTCCGAGCTGATGCCGACATCACAAGTTTTACACTGCTCTGTAGGAAAAATCAAACACAGCATTAGGCTCTTATTATCATATCATTTCATACTATCTGCTCTATTTAAACAGGTAAGCTCAGGTAGTCCTAACGCCAAACAGCCTAAATAGAAAAACCTAACGCTGAGCGTGTGCACTACCCCTTTCAAACCCTTTCCTCCTTTTCTCTTCTATTGCATCCCTACTTGCACAATCTGCACCCACGAATCAGCTATCCTTTTTTTTACTGCACCCTCTTTTTCCCTTCCGGTTTTTGGCCTGTCGATTGGAAATGAATGTAATTTTTGACAGGTGCCTTTCTAACGGAGTTAACTGAGGTATGATTCGGGGGTCTCGGATTTCCAGAAACTCAGCGAATGCATTGAAAGATGGTTTAAATGATCAGTTGAATGAGAATAGACTATCATAATTTTAAGCTTAGTTCAGTGTTGAAAGCTGGGGCAAAAAAAGCTTGGGGGGGGGCTCTTGCTGAAATCCACGCTGAAAAAAAGATATTGCTGAAATTGCCGTGCACGCGGGTGCCAACTGCCAACGGGCCAACTGCATGGTGTGCTAAAAAACGAACGTGCAAACCATGCAGGTAAAATCGCTACACAAATTTCAGCTAACTTACACACACGCGTGTAGGTGATTTTGATACACTGAAAAGCTACGTCTGTTACCTTTTTAGTTATTCTTCCGTAAATTCCGCTGTTTTTCCGTAAATTCCGCTATTTCAGCCTAACTATTGAGCTATTTTTACTGTTCGCAAAGTACCAATACCAAAAAATGCAGTTACACTTCCAAGCCACTCGATGCAAGATTAACTGCATGAAGGCGCGCAGATGTAGCAAATCAATGTAGCAATTCGTGCTAGTCGTTCACTTGATTCAACACCATGCACGGATAAGAAAGCTTTACGAAGTGAAGCAAATTTTGCTCCACCCTAAATCGGTGAATTAGCAATCCTTTTTTTCAGTGCATGTCGAACAACCACTTAAAAATAAACGATTTCTCCGATCGGCTTGCTGGATATCGCATTACAGGTGTGAAAAGAAGGTACGAACCTAGGTTTTCCTGGAGATTGAGTCGGGCGGCGACGCAGGCGACAGGGTCGATGTCGTTGAGAAGGACGCGCTGGGCGCCGGCGATGGCGGCGGCGATGCCGCAGGCCCCGCTGCCGGCGCCTAGGTCCAAGACCCGGCGCCCCCGCACCGCTGCCGGGTGGTCGAGGATGTAGCGAGCGATGGCCTGTCCGCCCGGCCAGTAGAAGGCCCAGTACGGGTCTGCGAAGGGGGCCTCCGAGGGTGGGGCCCGCCAGAGGGTGCAGTTGGGCGTGATCAGATGAAGACGCAGCTCCGGCGTCAGGTGCGCGACGCTCAATTCCGTGTGCAACCGGATGGTCCGCGTCAGGGTCGTGTCTGTCAAGTCGCTCGGTTTCGAGCTCAGGGACCTCTGGAAAACGCGCGGCAGCCGCAGCGCTTTCGCTACGGAGGGCATCGTCTCGACGAGGAACGATACCTGAAATCAAATATCAATTCGAAATTGAAAAGACATCGTCCACAGGGACCCAGTCCAGGATTCGTGCAAAAAGAAGAGAACGTGGCCGCATTTTGGACATCTTGGAAAGAGGTCGATGACTTACGGGGGTACGAACATCTTGGAAATCGAGATTCTCGAAAATGGTAGGTATGGTTTATGGAACACAGGCACACTTCAAAATGTGTTTAAAAACTGAATTTGGTGTTGAGTTCCGCGAAAACAATGGAAGTTACGGTTCATTTTGAATTTGGGAATTGCTCTGAATTTGGGATGAAACGTGAATATTGACGCCATACTATACCCATGTAAGATATTTAACAAGGTAGTTGTTAAGATGACAGATGAGTTGCATTCAGAATTCGTTCATTCGACGCCTTCATTTTTAGAGCTTCAAAAATTGGGACTCGAAAACCTCATATTGCCATCACAAATATTTTCGCGTGTCTTCAAGTTTTCCCCGTGTTTTCTACAACTAAAATATGACCTAGCTTTACGATACATGCAGCAGCACAAAGAAAAAGAGAAAAAATTCTACAACGTCACAATATGTGAAGCTCGGAACGAAAGCTACTTTGATTATCGAATAAATGACGTGGAGAGTTCCATAAGGGAGCAAAAAACAGTGCGTGCGACGAGATTTTTTCCATCCTGAGAGACCACGTAAATGACGCTAGGAGATTCGAAAGGACAGTGCTTCACACGCATGCGAAGATTAATGGAGTTCTGGCATGTGTGGGAGATTTGCGACTAAAGCATTTTTTCTGCCGTAAAATTTCATGAGAAACAGGATGATGCCACTGGTTTTCTCTGAAGCGAACTTCAAAGCTCAAAAAAATCTCTCAAAGTTGAGGCCGTAATGGAGGGGATGTCCAACGCTATCCTGAGAGTCTACTTGTATAACTAGTCAAACTCTCCATGCATAGATACGGAGCAAATGCATTACCAAGGGTTGCCGTGTTTTCAATGTAGAGTCCCCGAACAAAATGAAAACACTATTAATGTATTTGCTTCCTATCATTGCAGGGAGAGTTTGACTTGATATGGAGGTGGATCTCAGGATGGCTTGGAATATCCCATCCATTACGGTCTCAACTTTGAGAGCTTTTTTGGAGCTTTGAAGTTTGTTTGAGAGAAAATCAGGGGCACCGTCGTGTTTCTCGCGAAATTGTACATAGGAATCAGTGCTTAAATCGCAAATTCCTGACACATGCAAGAGCTCTATTGAACGAGGTAGCATACAATGAGAAAGAACGCTAGAATTTATAATTTCAAAATAAGAGACAACGATAGGAGCCCTTATGACTGTGCACGGAGCATGTTTAGAGGGTAACCTTTCTGAGTGGAGGTATTTCTAGCACTTAGGTCGTTTTATAGGGAATGAAGAGTAGTAAATTTATGAATCTAAATAGATGACTTGCTCCCTGGTAGGTTTTTGTGTAAATACGTGAGAGAGTTTTTAGCCAACACGGGAAAGGGTAACTTCAAATGAGCGATATGATAGGGAAGGATATCGACGGTGTAAGTCGGCATTTCGGCAATCACATAACTCGATTTGCGACGTAGCAGACTTCCTGTCATACTTTATTTATTGAACGGAAAACTACTCAACGGCAATTTTTTAATACTGCCGTGATTTTTCTTCTCTGTGCGAAGAAAATTCTGCAAAAACTTCAAGGAATAACGTCAATTTGTTCTCCTTTAAAAAAATAACATTGAGGCGGAGATTTTCAGACACCGCGAGAGAGATATATGATTGCGGACTTATGCCGTCGATATGCAACATTTCTTACATGGGACTTGTTGATCGGATGCATGCATTTGTAGTTGAAATCTCGAACGGCATTAAAATGGGTTTCATTTTCTGTTTATTCAAAGATTTTAATGGAAACTCAGGGCTAAAGTCAGAAGTCTTCATACTAAATCCTTGGTGATGACTGATTTTATAAAATCATTTCGAGAATAAACCAAGGGGTACCGTCTTGCATGACGGTTGCAAAACGGGCAGGTTGGAAGCGGGTCTGATACTGAGAGACGATATGGAAAATCGAAGACAGCTCCGTTGATTATTAACTTTTTTTCTTCTTCTTTCTTTTTCCTAATTTCAGTTACAATACAGAAAGAAAAAAACCTCTTTTTTGTGGAGATGAAGCGCAGCGGGACAAATTTTTCCAGTGGAAGGGAATCAGACCTAATACAGGACAAGACCAGCGGATTTTAAAGTCCGACTTCCAGCGTGACGAGACCCACGATTTGTGATTTGATCATCTCAAATCGGAGTACATTTTTGGACCTTCAATCTTAGTTTCACCTTGACCTCCGCTGCGGGCCGATTATTGAAACTGATGGACAAAGCGATAGAGAAAGAAGACATAGGGAGTATAGAGCGATCCTTTTGGTTGACATGGTTGGTTCCTATAGACCAAGGTAGAAAATGATGGACTAATTGTCGGGTCTTTGGTGGGTTGCTGTTAGTTAGTCCATTACCTACCTCCTATGTCCATTGCCACCGCCCGCTTCCACCAATAGGATCCCTCCAAATCCCTTTTGTCGTCTTTGTCTATAGCTCTGTCTATAAGTTTCAATAATCGGCCCGCTGACGGACTTTCTCTCTCTCTCTTTCAGACTTCGGCCAATTTCATCTTTCGAAAAACTCCGGATTTTTTTACTGGAACGAATGACGACCGTTGTACGCTCCTAATGGATGTTGATTCGAGGAAAATTGCTGCGGTTGACGCGTGAGTAAGCTGCCTCGAACAAAAACCCAGAAAATCCTAAAAATAAACGTCAAACTCCCTGAAAGGCTAGTTTTTTAAGTGCAACCGTGCCTAAGCAGCATTTCAAATCCACGTTCTTTTAAATTGCCATTATGAGGCTGGCACGCAGCTAAGTAATTGCGAGCGTCTAATTAGAGAGTAGGAGCGACGAATGTATTTTCTAGTGAAGTTAGTTTAAGATTCATCATGACGCTGATGACGGGTAAGTTGAATTATATGTATAATACATCACAAATCGATTCGCAAATTTTGAGAAAAAGTTGGAGCCCTTTCCAGAAAAAAAAAAAAACACTTAGCTAAGCGTGAGACGTCTTGTCTGACATTTTGATAGAAATCAATTCTGGAGGGATCAATAAAAGACATTCGTAAAAATCTGAGTTCAATTCTGGGAATAATTCACGATCTACAAAACTGAGCTCAGCAGAAAGAGGACAAATGCACAGAGACACGTTGCTGATAAAATCAAATGCTATTTGAAGGAAAATGTCTCATTTTTTGTCCCTACAATTAGCTAAAAAGTCAGTTTCTATTTTTCACAGAGTTCAACACTCTTTATCTTTTATAGTTTCCTGATCTTTCTTTATTTCAAGGAAAAAATTCAGTAATGCAACTCAAGATTCGCTGTCATTTACCACCTACGTTTCTGAGAGAGAACTTTTTGACGAGATTCCTTGAATTTTTTTGGATTTCTTGAGAAAATGTTTTTCGGAAAAGGGGAAAAACGCGCGAAGACTCTTGAAATTGAGAATTGTATAAATTTCTCTTTTCGTGAACTTGCAGGCAAAAGCATCATTCGATAGTGTTAAAATATGAAATCCCTCCGTTCAAATTCCGGCAGTGGCGACAGATTTTGAGTGAACTGACGCATAAACCTACAACCGGCCTTAAACCCTGAATAATTGATAAGCTTGGAGCAAGTATGAGCAAGAAAGATTACTTAATGTCTACGGAGGATCGCATATTTAGGTAGCGGTAGGTCCTAACAAAAAGCCAAGTAACGAGCAGAAAAGAAAGTGGAACTCATACGATCGTTTGGTTCGCAAGTTCTAATAATCGTTGATTAGATCGGGTTGGCGCGGTAGAAAATAATTAAATGTCCTAGCTGAAAGGGGGAATTTCAAGGTTCCACGGCGAAACTCTCTGATTTTTCAGAGTTTGGGCAAAATTCCCCGACTTTGACCGACTATTATTTTTTAGGTTTCCACTGGCTTTTGAAGAACTTGCTACCTTGTGTTTGCGGCAGAGGTATTCACTTATTTAGGGTTGCCACAAAATTCGGAAAATTAAATTCCCTGACATTCCTTGATTCCCCTTACACATTTTGGCGAAATTCCCTGACAATTGAACAAATGCCAGATTTTTAAAAAGACAAAGTTAGAAATAAATTTCAAGCAGAATTCGTTGTTCAGAACGTCAAACCCACTCGAGAAAGCAAATGCAGGTGATTTGACGATTTTTCCCTGACATTTCCCGGTTTTCCCGGTAATTCCTTACCGTGGCAACCCTGGGTATTTTCTCCATGCATAGGTCCATACTTCTACGTATTTTATGCTCTAGTGATATCATACATTTTGTTTCAGTTGCTCTGGTCACGCTGGCTCTCTGGTCATTCTGTGCATCCAATGTAAATGCCCAAAACTATAAACTGAGCGAATTAACGTGGCACCCTGGTACGTATTACAAATGCACCCACCCTGATATGCATTTTTTGGTGGTGGACAGCGAAATTTTAATCTACACGATGGATCACAGCGTCACTAAAACCTACACGACCGTCGTTGAAGTCAATAAAAAGTCTGCATTTGCTAATGGAGTCTACGTGAAGGAAAAGATAATCAGAAGGTAAATTCAAGGTTCACGGTATTTTCTCATTTCAAATGCATCCCATTTTCCCTAAGTCAGGGTGTCTACTATTTTTTAATTTTGAAAAATTCTGATATTTTATAAAAAAATCCTGATTTTTTCATTTTGAAAATTCTTGATATTTTCCTGATTTTTCTCGACTCCTGGCACGGTAGGCAAAAATCAGCAAGACTTTTCTCCGCTGAGGAGATTCGCGTGAAAACTGCGGTTTGCAGGACTTCCGCGGGATGTTTTTCACGGTTTATCGCACTGTAACGATGGATCATCCTTAGTGACATCCCGATTGCCAGTCTTTCCCATGTTAAGGGCCAGATACACCTGCGAGCTAGACGCGCTTCTTGAGCGGCGAGTAGGCCTGTTTTGTAGCCAATCAGGTTGCAACTGGCCGCCCGCAACTCGCTCAAAGTAGGTTCGAATCCTACTATTCGGGTCAAGATCAGAGACAAGAGACCCTCCACTGGCCTTCTATAGCGACAGGTGGAAGCTTTTACTTTCGAGGTTTCAACAATTCCTTACGGACAATTACTAAGAAGCAACAGTCATCATCCTAATTTCAGCTGTTGACTTACCTACATGGTCGATGATGAGCTTCGGACGCCGTCATGAGCCAAACAAGTTTCCCAAACGTTGGCCATTTTCGGCGTGTTTGCAAAACGAAAATGCCAACACGTTGTTGAACATCAACCATGTAGGTAAGTCAACAGGAGAGTGCTGAAGTCCCGAAAGTAAACTAAAAGCTTCCACAACGGCCAAGATACTAGTGGAGGGTCTCTTGTCTCTGGTCAAGACGCGCATGTAGCACGCATGTGTCTCCGGCCCTTCAATGCCATTTATATTTCCCTCGACAGGAGCGGGAATTTCAATGCGAACGTGGGGGCCGCAATGGCGAAAAGTCTCATCGGAAAAAGATTGCCGTACGACAAGCTGAGATGTAACGGGCCCAGGTACATCTCGTACTTCCTCCACGGTGAGATCCTTACATCGTGGAGTGACAAGTTCGCCCACGGTGGGCTGAGTCCCGACTGTCCACTACAGAGGTCCCTCCATGGCCTCACCGTCCACCATGTCACGGACCCCAAATTCGAACTGCAAGACAACCGGGGTAACATGATTCCGGTGGACTCCTTGGAGGATTATCCCAGCTACGAAAGTATTTACGGTTATCTCCGCCATGCTCCGACGTCTCCGACAATGCGGCAACGCTCGAGCAGCCCTGTCCGCAGAGGTAGCTCATTTCTCAGCCGAAGTAGGAGATTCTTAACCCGGAGTCGAAGTTTATTTTTTTTCCGAACCAGCTCTCAAGCCAATAATATCCAGATGCCAATTGGACCGACTTCATCAGGAAGGAGCCGACAAGCATCAATTCGAAACTGAGAAAAAGAGGTTTGAAGTTTTATTCCTGCACAGAGACAAGAGACCCTCCACTAGTATCTTGGCCATTGTGGAAGCTTTCACTTTCGGGACTTCAGCATTCTACTGTTGACTTACCTACATGGTTGATGTTTAACAACGTGTTGGCAGTTTCGTTTCGCAAACAAGTCGAAAATGGTCGAAGTTTGCGAAACTTGTTTGGCTCATGACGTCACTCGAAGCTCATCATTGACCATGTAGGTAGGTCAACAGCCGAAATTGAGGTGATGACTGTTGCTCCCTAATAATTGTCCGTAAGGAATTGTTGAATCCCCGAAAGTAAAAGCTTCCACCTGTCGCTAGGAGGCCAGTGGAGGCTCTTAACTTAAACTCTGTTCCTGCATAAGGCTCGATGTTGAAAATAAGCTTTAACTCCTCTATTCACAAACTAATTTCTTATCTTCGACTATCCGATGTTGGCAGGAAAAAATAAACGAATATGGGGAACTCAAAAACATTCTTAACTCAATTTTTCGACAATGTGGGTTGGGTTTTTTCTAATAAACTTGGTCCAATTATGAAAACCGTTCTAGAGAGATGGAGAAGAGCATGAGCCTCCGTTACGGTGGTGTTACGCGGGGGAGCAGAGTCAAAGGCTGCGTTACGTATCGCTGAGACATTAAATTGAGACATTTAAAAATAAAATTAGATGAGAAATTGACGTGAGGTGACGATTCATCATTCAAAATTCATCACAAAACGCAAATTTGTGGGGGAGGGTGGAACAGTACAACGCATTAAATATTATTTTCAGGTTCGAGACCTGCCTTACCAGTGCGTTGTCGGAAGGAGAGGGAAACGACAAAATCCGATTGTCGGCTTTACGTATTTTATGAGCGTCTCCTAGATTATGTTTCCGGACGGCAAAAACGAGATGGATTGATTGGTTCGTTAATATCTGTTCAATATTTAGAGTACGTTAGATGCATTATTTTTATGGTTTTTAGTTTTTGCTTTTAATATCTCTAATATTTGTCAAAATTTTAATGAAAATAGTGTAACCTCTCCGCCTCTATGAACCCTCAAATGGTATAAATAAAATAGAGTAATTATACTATACTATAATATTATATTGTATTACATTATTAGTGTATTTTTTTGTATTATACTTTAGGTTCTTACAAAAATTGTCTGAGTACAACAATTATTTCTACGGCTGTGCGGGCTGCACAGTGCACATTGCAGTTTGACGAACATCGAATTCCAATGTGTAATAAGTGTTGAGTATTTCTTTCTATCCCGATTAAAAAAACGATTTAGAGGACCAGAAAAAGAAATACTCAGTACTTTCAATGCAGAATTTTCAAAACTTCTTCATTTTAGAATTATTTGATTTTCCTTGTTCAAAAAATTTATTTTTCTTGACTCTCCTTGGCCTTTCAATTAACTTCCAATTGAAATGTTTATTTCTTTTAATTACGCTGATTTCTGCCAAACTTTGGACACTATTTCCAGTTCTCAAGTTTCGAATTACGTAAGATGGCACTCAGCAAGTCTCTGCGTTGTTTCGAATGGCACCGACTGCCATTTGGACTACATTTTGCAATTAGGAACTATAAATTCCGGCCCGGTTTAAAAACGACGTATGTGCAATTAGTTTCCATATGCACATAAGTGTTTTTTCAGATGAGCCAGAATTTATAGGTCCAAATTGCAAAATGCAGTCCATTTGTGTCGAGCCGACGCATACGGTGGATCGAGCCAATAAGAGAGGTGGGACAAACTTTAGAGACTTTAAACACTTATAACTCCATTCATACAACACTTTGAGGTCATAAAAGAGGTCCCATTGGTTTTCCCGTGAATGTTGCTTTCCGATACACCCCTTCAAATTTAAAATATGAAGAATTAAACATGAATTTGCAGTTTTAGTTAAAAACTTCATGTCCGACCTCTCTGACTGACTCGATCCACTGTGCGACGCGCTACTCACGAAATTCCCTCGCTTTCCCGACTTTCCAGGCTTTCAACATGGCCAGAAACTCTGCAAAGACCCAATCAGAGAAACTCAACCTCAAAAAAAAAAAAAAAAAAAAAAAAAAAAAAAAAAAAAAAAAAAAAAAAAAAAAAAAAAA